CTCTGCCTTGTAACATCAGTGGCCTAAAGGTTTAGCTCCCTGACTCGCTACGGTAAGGTTATGAGTTCGAATCCTGTCAGGGGCCTGACTTTGTTTCCTTGGGAAAGGAACACATTTGAACACATTTTCAACCTCACTGCGAGACTATTTTTCTCATATAAAAACTGAAAAACTGAAAATCAATAAGCGGTGAGTGGGGGATGATTATTTGATACCTGAGAGTACTACTGATAACTACAGCCTTAAATAAAAACATAGACTAGCAGCACTGAAAACATAAAAAAAAATTATCACAAATTCATATGTAAAACAAAAAAATCAGTTACAAATTAAGAAACACGAACGAGGACAAATTTTTTGCCAAAAGTAAATTATAAAAGATAGTAGGAAAGTGTCACATAAAACTATTTAGTGGTACAAATGAACAATTGTCAAAGTTATTTAGTGCACTGATCAACCTATAACGTTATTACATGATTAACCTTCAGACTTAGGTGCACATATTAACCTTTTAGGTCATTTGGGGTACAGATTAACCTTTAAAGTTAATCAATGCTCCAGTTAATCTTTCAAGTAATTTAGAGTACCAGTTAACCTTTGAAGTAATTTAGAGCACCAATTATCATTTGAGATTATTTGGTGCACTGAATAACCTTTCAAGTTATTTGATGAACCAGTTAGCCTTTGAAGTTATTCAGTGCACCTAACCAACCTTCAAGGCTATTCCCTGCATCAGTTAACCTTTGAAACTATTGGAAGCTCCAGTTCACATTTATCTCATTCGGGACGCACGTCCGATGGCATTTCACGCCGTTGTCGCAGCAATGAAGGTATACTAGGGAACAAACTTTTGTTTGACATTGCTTAGCCAATTTTATTTTGTATTTATTTACCTGTGACCGTCTAGCGTTATTTTTTAAAGGCGATTTGTGAAGGCAGTCAAGGCGACACAGAACATGGATCTTTGAGGAGTACCATACAAAGAAGGACTATTCACAGTGACTGGAACTATTTCTTCACAGTATTTGGACTGTTAATTGTATATGGTGCGTTTTTAGCTGCATTGTAGATATGATGTAACTTTATCTTGTTCGTTTCAGCATTTCTTCACTGTAAACTTAGAGGGAAAAAGAAATTTTGTTGGTCTCATACACCATTTTTGTAGGGGTCCTGACAAATTTAGGAATTTATCCGTGCAAATTGGGTTAGATCCAAGGCAAAGTCCAAAAGCTGAATGTGTAGACAGTTAAAATAGACTTTAAAAATATCAAAAGGGAAAAAAACGGCAGACTTTCAAAGTTGACCCAGAATCGTGCGTTTTTGGGTGCAAAGCTTGTCCAAAACCTGCGTCCGAATGAGTTATGCTATTTACAGCACCAATTAATCTTTGAAAATATTTGGAGCTCCAGTTCCCCTTCAAAGCTATTTAGCATACCAGTTAACTTTTCAAGCTATATTTACAGAACCAATTAACCTTTGAAACTACATGAAGAGCACAGGGGAAAAACGACGGTAGTCACAAACTGGAAAGTGTGAGGGTGCCAATTTTAAAAGCTTGTGGGTTCATAACTTCATATTTATTTGACTGGTGGTTTATTGTTAAGTGCTGTTGAATGGGAAATCTAACAACAATAATCAACCAACAATTGAACAGAAATGCAGTTATGAGTAAACAAAAGTTCACAATTGGTATCCTCACAATTTTCTGTTTGTGACTACCGTCGTTTTTTCCACCTGTAGTCTTCACATGTATTTGAAGCTCCAATTAACCTTTGAAGTTATTTGGAGCCCTTCCCTTGACGCCAAGCTCGGTCACCCGGAAGACAGAGCCTGCCAGGGGCTGGCTAGCCTCGTCCTTGATGTTGTGTCTGCTGCATGTGACGTAGAGCTCATCCAGATTTTTACCGCCAAAGCAGACGGACGTGATGTTGGTGGCGGGCAGCTTCACTTCTTGAAGCGTTTTACCTGGGGAACGGGGTTTGTACAGATTTGAAAAACTCTAGTTTTCTTCATCTCGAAACTCAAAAAGGCAGGCAACACTGAGGACACTGCTATGAAATATACAAATTTGTCTTTCTGATTTGTGTTTGGTGGTTCAGGATTTTGTTGCTGCTCAACTTTGCCTTTAGTCGCCTACTGATCAGTCATATTATGTGTCCGCTACATTGTTAAAGAGTAAAAAGAAGTAGGACCTTCCCATGCCACCCTCCGTCCACCCAAACACACCACTGTTCTTTTGGGCTCAACACCTTTCATGCCCTTTAAAGAACACATTTCTGCGTGGATTTTACTAAAAAAAAAACTCATTGATTAAAAGCATAAAAACTGTAAATTTTTAGTTCTAACAGCTTCTCAAGTTAAGGAAGCAATCAACTTTGGCGGCCATTTTTTCCCTAACTTTTCCTCTGAAACCAGATGACCCCGAACCTTCTTAAATCGCCAATATCTTGACTTGTATCCAAGATAAGTGGATATATTTTTCATCAAAAACTAGGCAAATTAGTTTTAGTAGGGGTTTTACGGCCCTCGCAACTGCATAAGGTCATATGAGCGCCAGAAGATAAGAGGAGTTTTAGTTTTAGTTTTAGTAGAGGTTTTACGGCGCTCGCAAAAGCACAAGGTCATATGAGCGCCTGAAGATTAGTAGAGGTGTTACAAGAGAGTAACAAACATAAAAAAGAAGAAGGGGAGACAAGGACGATAGATGTTTGAAAGGGAAAAAGAAGCAAACCACACCAGAGCACCCACCAACCAACCACGCAAGGCAAATGAACAGGCTTTAAGATGATTATATATATGCACATGCCCCAAAATTGATGAGCGCCTGATTCCACCACGTCGTGACATATATGAACAGCTACCAAGTGATGAGCGTTTTGTAGCAGCGTACCTGTCTCGGGGTCAAACCGGTACACTCGGGAGGCACTGAAGCAGGCAACCCATATCTTGCCCTCACAGTCGATGCACATGCCATCAGGCAGTCCGTACGTTTCCATCGTTCCTTCCCCAAACTCCACCACCGTTCTCTGGTTACCTGATTGGAGAAAACACAATTCAGAGATTTGTTTTTTTTAAAGTTTTAGTAGACGTTTTACAGCGCTCACAACTGCATAAGGTCATATGAGCGCCAGAAGATTAGAGGTGTTACAAGAGAGTAACAAACATAAAAAAGAAGAAGGGGAGATAAGGACAATAGATGTTTAATAGGAAAGAAGAAGCAAACCACACCAGAGCACCCGCCAACCACCCACATGATTTGTTTGAGTAATGCAGGCTTGCTATTTGTTCTGAATTTCCTGGGACTGTACTGAATTTGATAATCAGGAATTTAAGAACCGTACCACTAACGCTTCACCGGAACGAGCCCCATTTAATGTTATTGTGTTCATTGTTACATAATCTGGTGTTGTTTGTGAGGGGAAAAAACCCCATAACAACACAATAAAGGTAATTTAAATGCAGGGAAAGTAAAGAACGAACCACAATAGCCACTCATATTACAGCTGACCAAATGAACAACGACACCACAGAACAAAATTTACTACCAATTTAATAAGCCGTCAACAGTAAGACTTTTAATACTGATAACATTCGCAATGATAACGAATCAGTAAAGTTGACACTCTCCTCACAACACAAATGTGAGTGCAAGCATACTACGTGTGTGTGCATGTTTGTGTCTGTGGGTGTGTGTGTGTGTGTGTGTGGGTGTGTGTGTGGGTGTGAGTGTGTGTGTGTGCGCAAGTGTGTGTGTCTGTGTGTATTTGTGTGCGTGGTGAAACACAAAACCAATGTGCCAGGATCTGGACAATAAAGATGTATCTTACAAATTTACTTACTGAGTGTCCCCCCTGCCATGTCGAAGTCAAACGCATAGACTTTGCGGGGTATCGAGTCAATGTAGTACATAATAGAGTTGTCGTCAGTCCAGTCCATTCCGTTGCTGATATCGATTCCTCCGACCTGACATACAAACAGTAATAATGACAATAGCAACTCATTTCATCCATAACGAACTCATGATCACATTCAATATCCAAGGAAGAAGAGAAATTTTAGGCCTTGCAGCGAGTGACTGACAGCTTCAGAGACAGACGTGGTGAAATACTACTCCACTGGAAAGAAAACTATTGGGCAGTCTTAAAAACCTACAGCCAACTGCACATTTTGTGCACATCACCAGATAGACTGTCATCAAGAAAGAGCAAGAAAGAGCAAGAAGGAGGAGGAGAAGACCAACAACGACAACAACAACAACAACACAAACAACAGGAAGAAGAAGAAGAAGAAGAAGAGGAAGAGGAAGAGGAAGAAGAAGGAGAAGGAGAAGGAGAAGGAGAAGGAGAAGGAGAAGGAGAA